TAACATTTCACTTGCTCTATTTTACCAGCATTTGTCTAGAATATACTTCCCTTTCTCTATTAAGATATGGTGGTGTTTTGTTTTAGATATTTGACCACGATTTATAAACAGCATAAAACTGGATTTTTTTTTACCCAATAAAATTTTCTGTCATTGATTAGTGGACTTAAATCTATTCACATTTATTATAATTGCTAATATGTTTGGATTTATTTCTGCCATGTAATATTATTTTTTTAACCTACCATATTTCCTTGCCTTTTTTTTCCTGACTTTTTACAGACTTATAGTTAAGGACAGCTCCCCAGAATTGTGTACACTTCAGGCTTCATAAAATTTCCACTCACACTTGTGGCTTTTGGAAAAAAGCGCAACTGAAATCCCAGTTATATGGCCCATTTGCATGAGTAGACAATTATTGTACATTGCCAGGCTTTTTACAGTTAAGGAAGACTTCACAGTAAGTTCAAGGAATATGCAGTAAAGTTGTATTTTTTTTTATTTTTTAAATTATATTTTATCAATTATGCTATTATAGTTGTCCTGATTTTTCCCCCTTTGCCCACTTCCACCCAACATCCCCCCCACACTCCCTCAGGCAATCCCCACACCTTTGTTTATGTCCATGAGTCATATGGAAAAGTTCTTTGGCTTCTCCATTTCCTATACTGTACTGTACATCCCAGTGGCTATTCTGTAACTACCCATTTGTATTTCTTAATCCCCTCACCTCTTCACCCAAACTCCCCCTCTGCCCTCCTATCTGGCAACCATCAAAACCCTCTTCCTACCCATTATTCTGTCTGCTCTTCTTGTTTATTTAGTTTGTTTTTTAGATTCAATTGTTTATAAACATGTATTTATTGCCATTTTACTGTTCATAGTTTTGTTCTCTTTAACATTTCATATAATAATGGTTTGGTGACGATGAACTCCTTTAGTTTTTTTCTTGTCTGGGAAGCTCTTTGTCTGCCCTTTTATTCTAAAAGATATTTTTTCTGGGTAGAGCAATCTTGGCTATAGATCCCTGCTTTTTGTGACTTTGAATATTTCTTGTCAATCCCTTCTAGCCTGTAAAGTTTCTCTTGAGAAATCAGCTGACAGTCTTATGGAAATTCCACTGGAGGTAACCAACTTTTTTCTCTTGCTGCTTTTAAGAGCCTCTTCTTATCTTTGACCTTCAGCATTTTAATCATGATGTGTCTTGGCATGGGCCTCTTTACATCCATCTTGTTTGGGACTCTCTGTGCTTCCTGGACTTGCATGTCTATTTCCTTCACCAAATTAGGAATGTTTTCTTTCATTATTTTTTCAAATAGATGTCCCATTTCTTGCTCTTTCTCTTCTCCTTCTAGCACCCCTACGATGCAAATGTCAGGATGCTTGAATTATCTCAGAGGCTCCTTACACTTTCTTTGCTTTTTTGGATTCTTTTCTTTTCTTGTTCTGATCAGTTGTTTTTTGCTTCCTTATGTTCCAAATCATTGATTTGATTCTCAGTTTCATCCACTCCACTGTTGTTTCCCTGTAAATTGTTCTTTTTTTTCCTTAGTTTATGACTGGATCTGTTTTATGCTGTTGAGGTCCTCATTAAATTCCTTGAGCATCCTTATAAACAGTGTTTTGAACTCTGCATCTAGTAGCTTGCTTATCTTCCTGTTGTTCAGTTCTTTTTCTGGACTTTTGATCTGTTCTTTCATTGGGCCATGTTTCTTTGCCTTCTAATTTTGGCAGCCTCCCTGTATTCGTTTCTATGTATTAGGTAGAGCTGCTTTGACTCTGTGTCTCGGTAGTGTGGTCTAATGTAGTAGGTGTCCTGTACGATCCAGTGGCACCCCCTAACACCCAAGCTGGGTACTCTAGGTGCACCTTTTATGTGGGCTGAGTACATCCTCCTCTTGTAGTTGAGCCTGGGTTGCTGTTGGCAGATAAATGGAAGGGATTTACCCAGGCCAGTCAGCTGCAAGGACTGGCTGTGACCACTGGCCACCAACCTCTGCCCTCCATGGAGGATCAAGGTGTTCAGGGCCAGGGTGGTGGTACTCCAATGTCGTCTGTAGCTGTCCACTGGTGTGCAAGCTCTGGGGTTTCCTGGGTGGTGCAGGCCAGGGTCAGTCCCAACTTGTGTTATGCCCAGGGCCACCCTACCTGGGCTATAAAGCTATCTGAGATGGATACTATTTGTGCTGAGCTTGGAGATTCTCAGGTGAAATCCACCTGTGAGCCTAGTCTGGATGCTGCTAGTGCTGGGCCTGGGACAACTTAGTGAGAGGTACAGGGCCTGGGGGCTCACTGAGGCTGGCTCTTGCTGGTTTGAGAGGATTTAGGAAGTTGTGAAGCATATGCCAAACCAGCCATTCCTACAGAAAAGTCTCTGTTAACAGCTTGGGTGGGTCCATAAGTTTAGTGGAATGGAGCCTCAGAGGATCTCCAGGGCAGGACTATCAGTGTTAGTCAGGTTGATGGAGTCTCAGACATGGTACCCATCTGCTGGTTCTGTGTCTCTTTGTGGGGAGGCTTCAGAAAAGTGACAATGATTCTGTCCACATTTCTGTCTGGGAGAAAGCTGTCCCCCAGCTCTCATCTCGATGCCAGACACTTCAGTTCCTCCCCATATGCCACTGGTGCTTTCAAGCTGCTACCCTGGTGCTGGAGCTCAGAGGGAGTGAGTCTGAGTAGGTGAGTCCATGTGTGAGTTCTTTTAGAGGAACTTCTTGGGACTACAGAAGTTTCTTCCACTGAGTTAGTCCCCACTGTTTTTTGTAGCCAGAAGTTGTAGTGAGTTATCTTCCTGTCACTGGAACCCTGGATTTGGGGGCCTGGTATAGGGCTAGGACTCCTTGTTCCCAAGACATCCCTCCCAAATTTTTATCCACCACACATGGATGTGGGGCCAGCCTGTTCCATGTCTCCACCCCTCCTACCAATCTGAATAGATGCAGTTTCTTTAATTCCATAGTTGTCAAACTTCCATTAAACTCAATTTCTGATGGTTCTGAGTGATGGTTGTTCTATAACTTGGTTGTAATTTTGATATGGTTTTGTGAGGAGGTGAGCTGTGTTTACCTATGCCACCATCTTGACCAGAAGTCAGAGTATGCAGTAAATTTTTAAATGAAATAATTATGAACTTCAGAAGAAATAAAAGTTGGGCCAGAAAGGAAATGTAATCAATTATACTACTTAGCTCAGCAGTTAACATGACTGATACAGATTCTGAATTATGATTTAAATAGAAATTATAGACTCAATTGGAAAATTGCACTTCATCTACATAATAGTGACTAAATAATGTCTGTCAACAATTGGTAAACAAAGATATATCTGTTTATGTGCATTATTCAGAAATTCAGATGTCCATACAAGAAGAAAAAGTTAAAACCTGAGGCTGGCTTCTCTGGACAACAGGAATGGCTTTTTCTAGTACCACAAGACTTTAAATGAATGTATTATTACTTTCAAAATATTTTTTACCTTATACCAATCAGATATTTTTGGAAGGAGAAATCCTAGAAAATTATGCAACTGAAAACTAGGAAGCCTTTACCTGACACAAGGTTAGAAGCAAAAATTATTTGCAATATTATATGTGAAAACATACACAAATGCCAACTCCTGTCTACTACAGGAAATAATGAAATAACATATGGCATATCTGTCTTTTGGAATTTCCACCCCTGCTAAGTTCCACAAGGTAAAACTTCTCAGGGAATAGCATAGATTGGATCAATGTCCACAAGACACTGGAAAGAGAAAGAAGCAAGCTACTAGTGAAATGTAGTATTTGAATATGTGCACATACACAGAAAAACATCCTGACAGGAAACCTATAACGGTTAATTTCATGTGTCAATTTGACTGGACCACAGGATGCCTAGAAATTTGGTCAAACATTATTCTGTGTGTCTATAAAGGTGTTTTTAGGTAAGAGTAAGTTTTGAATCAGTGGACCCAGGAAAGCAGATTGCTCACCCTAATGTGGGTGGGCCTTATCCAACCAGCTGAAACCCTGACTACAACAAGAAGGCTGATCCTACATGAGTACAAGAGAGTTCTTCCTTCCTGACCCCCTTCAAATTGGGGCATTGGCTTTTTTCCAGCCTTTGGACTCAAAGGGAAAATTCATCTCTCTCTGGGTCTTTAGTATGTTGCCTTTGAGTGGAACTACACCCATCATCTCTACCAGGCCTCCAGCTTGCATGCTCACCTGCAGAACTTGGGTCTTCTGAGCTTCCATAATCGCAAGAGCCAATTCCTTATCACTAATCTCTCCACATGTGTGTGTTTAAAACATTTTTCACTAATAGTATATATTACTTTTGTGATAAAAATAAAACAAAAAATCTATTTGCTTAAAGACCCTTCTAAGATTGGTTTTAAAATGATCTTGGAAGATGACATTTACCCACTGTGAAACAGTTGGTGTCACCCTGTGCTGGATATATGTCTAGGTTTGTCTGGGGTCAAAAAGAGGCAGCCATGCTGCAAACAGTGGAAAAGTCTGTTACCAATCCTCCATCTTTTAGCAAACATTTTTCACTGGCCTTGCCAGCCCCCTCCACGGTACCCAGGCTGAGGAAAGTGAGGTGCTCCCTGAAACCTCTTCTGGAGGAGATCCCAACTGCAGGGAAGGCCACTTCCTCCAGAAACCCCTGAGGGTGTGGGCAGACCCTCCAGCCCAGCCCAGCCGGCTCCTTCCCCCAGCCACAAATCCCAGTCAGTGCCTCTACTGAATGCGTCTGCTCCAAGCTCCCCCGCCCCACCCCTGCTGTTCCTAGGAGATTGGGTACCTAGGAGAAGCTGTCTGTGACTTATACTTTCTTCCTCTGCTCCTCTGCTCTCTGCTCCTCTTGTTTGCACACTACATTTCCCAGTTCCAAATAACTAGTCCACACAGAGTTTCAAGTATTTGTTTCTTCTTCTCCTACTGCATTGAGGAGGCTGAAAGTTATAATAATCTCGGTGAGTAGCAGAGGAGGCTGGGATCTGCCTCCCCAGGGTCTGAGATTCTTAAACCGTTCCACTCTATCTTCCCTCAATTCCTCCCCATGCCTCTGACTACCTTCAAAATCCCCAGAAGAGAAGCTGGGGGCAGCGTAGGGATGGGGTACAGACAGATATCTGCTGGAGATCAGGGCTCCTAGCCGGTAATGTTCCGTCTCATCTCACATGTCCAGCGTTGCACTTGCTGGCAGAAATTGTGGGACCAGCGGCCATCCGCTTGGACTTCAGCACAGTCTTCGCTTCCACCCTGTTCATGCCCCCTCCAGTTATCTAGCCAAGCGACATTCCAGTTCCTAGGGAGACAGGACAGAGATCCAGCTCTACCACCCCTATTCCAGCAATCCTCACCCCCATATCAGAAAAGCACAGCCTTAGAGAATTCAGGAAGCAGAAGCTGCAGCCTTGGAGTTTGGGAGTCTGAAGGGGAGAGGGTTGGGGAATTTGGTCCCTAAGGATGGGATATTAGGGGCAAAAGTCCAGGTGGCCATCCCCAGGCCAAACTAGGATGGGGAGAGGGCACTTACTTGTAGCTATTACTGTAGTCTGTGCCATCGACCCATTTCCAGGAACCGTCAGTCTCAGTGAGACCTATCCAGGTATGAAAGGGTTGTGTGTGCTGTACAATGAATTTCTGGAAAACAGGTGGGAGGGAAGTTTCTAGTCCCTCATACCTCCATGCAGGCATTCCCTCAGCCTTCCCCAGCCTGATCTGCCCCTAAGCTGAAGTATCATCTCCCCTCCAAAAAAAAGTCTTCACTTTTTCTTTTGTAACCTAAGCTATTGTTTAGAGCAGTGGTCCCCAACCTTTGTAGCACAGGGATGGGTTTTGTGGAAGACAATTTTTCCACGGACTGGGGAGCAGGGAGGGGGGATGGTTTGGGGATGATTCAAGCACACTACATTTATTGTGCACTTTATTTATATTATTATTCCATTATAATATATAATGAAATGATTATGCAACTCACCATAATACAGAACCAGTAGGAGCCCTGAGCTTGTTTTCCTGCAATTGGACAGTTCCCATCTAGAGGTGATGGGAGACAGCTCCACCTCTGATCATCAGGCACTAAATTCTCATAAGGAGTGAGCAACCTAGATCCCTCACATGCACAGTTCACAGCAGGGTTCACGCACTTGTGAGAATCAATGCCATGGATGATCTAACAGGAGGCAGAGCTCAGGTGGTAATGGAAGTGATGGGGAGCAGTTGTAAATATGTACATACAGATGAAGCTTCGCTCACCCACTGCTCACGTCCTACTCTGTGGCCTGGTACCAGTCCAGATCTGGGTCCGTGGTTGGGGACCCCTACTTTAGAGAATGTTCACTGCACTAAAGCATATACTAAATGCTTCACAAGGGTTATTTTGTTAAATCCTCATAAACCCTCTAAAGTGGTTGCCCTAACTTACATGTGATGTTAAAGAATTCATAGTAGCTGGTGGAGCCCAAAAGTCAACGCAGTGCCCAACGTATGACCGCTGCCCCAGATCTGGCCCCTCGCTTCATTCTCAACTGATGGATGCTACTGCATCTGTAGTCCTTTCCTTGTCTTCTGCCCACAGCCTCAAACTCAGGATCCTGACTCTGGCCCTTGTCCTGGCGGTCCCTATGGAGCCCTCAGTTTCTATGTGTAGCTATCATTTCCAGAGGTTCACCAGGTTCTGGGGCTTCCCGTTGAACCCACTACCCAGAGCCCATTATGACTTGGCTACACAGGGTCTGGCAGTCTGTGCTAAATACAGGAAGCTGCCCTGGGTAGAGGGGGCGAGTGTGAAGAAAGCAGAGGGATGGATTGGCCAACATCCACACTTAGCAGTTAGTCCCTTTTGACAGCATGTGAAGGGTCTCCAACTACAAGCGGGGGAAAAAAATTCATGGTTCCACTCACATCCTCAAGATATAACTAAGATTACCATTAGTCACCTCATCTGAGGGCAGATATAGGAGCATCCTTGGATTCTAGAATCCTGCAAATAGGATAATGCCCTGTGCATGCAGGGGCAGCCCTCAGAGGTTGGAGGGCTGTTCTCCAAATTAAGAAGAGTCAATAGAGCTGCAGACAAGATATTCTATTTGCTGCTGCCTGCTGCCCAGTCCCCTCTCCCCATCACCACAAGAAGCTGAATAACTGAACAAAGATACAAATCATCAAAAACCCAGCCCTCTGTGTCAGACTCATGAGAGGAATCTAATAGGGCCAAATAAGCAAAGAAAATAATCCAGGAGAATTCATCTCCCTGGCTCATGGGTAAATAACAGGCAAGAAAGAATTGTGGCCATTCATAAAAGTGGTAGAGAGGGGAATTATCATGAAACTTATGCAAAAACAAAGAGGATGAAGGAGAAGAGGAGGAGGAGGATGAAAGAACTGTGATATCAAAAAGAGAGGTGAAAAATATACTCTGAATAAAAGGCATGTTTTAGAACAGAAGTGGATGTTGGAGAACAACTTTTTTACAGCCTCAGAAAAATTAAAGAGGAGATGCCCTAGCCAGGTAACTCAGTTGGTTAGAGCATCATCCTGATACATCAAGGTTACATGTTTGAACTCTGGGAGAACACATACAAGAAGAAACCAATGAATGCATAAATAAATGTAACAACAAATTGATGTGTGTGTGTCTCGGCAATAGATTAAAAAATATATAAACTTAAACTTATTTTTTTAAAAATTAAAGAGGAAATGAATGACATAAAATATCAAGAAAGATATTTAGAAAGATAACACAATATAATAACTAAAGAGAAGAAATGCAAGAGGACAATTTGAGCTGTATAAAAACAACCCAGGAGCTCAGCAGCAAGCAAGGTCTGAGATATAAAAATGGGCCTGAGAAAAGGACTCAGAATGCAGTAGAAAAGAGAGAAAGATGGAAGTAATGGTAACAAGTTGATGGCTGTGGAGGGCAGACAATGGAGATACATTTGGATGATGTGTTCCAGAGAAAAAGAGAACAAATGGACAAGAAAAAAATATTCACATATGTGACTTAAGAAAATCTACAATGTTAGAAAACCTCACCCTAGCCATGTGGCTCAGTTGGTTGGAGCATGGTCCCATGCACCATAAGGTTTTGGGTTAAATTTTGGGTCAGGGCATATACCTAGGTTGAGCACATAAATGGAAGAGCACATAAAGTGCTTTCCAGATAAGGTCAAGTTAAAGGCGTTCCTCATTACCAAGCCCTTATTATATGAAATGTTAAAGGAAATATGAACAGTAAAATGAGAACAAACTCACGACTATCAACAACCAAACCTAAAAACAAAAACAAACTAAGCAAACAACTAGAACAGGAAGAGAATCACAGAAATGGAGACCATATGGAGGGCTATCAGTGGGAAGCAGGAAGGGGAGAATGGGGGAAAAGGTACAGGGAATAAGCAGCATAAATTGGGTAGGTACAAAATCAATAGGGGGAGATTAAGAATAGTATGGGAAATGGAGAATCCAAAGAACTTATACGTACAACTCATGGACATGAACTAAGGGGGTGGGAATGTGGGTGGGAGGGGGTGTGCAGGGAAAAGGGGAATAAAGGAGGGAAAATGGGACAACTGTAATAGCACAATCAATAAAATATTTTTTTTAAAAAAAGAAAGAATGAGGTGTGTAAAGAAGTGTCCTGGTTTCCTCATATTTCTTATGAAAAGCTATATAAACTCCTTGATTTTTTAAAATCCTCATCCAAGGATATGTCTATTGATTTTAGAAAGAAAGGAAGGGAGAGAGAAACAACAGTTGGTTGTGTCCTGAACATGCACTTACTGGAGATCGAACCCACAACCTAAGTATGTGCCTTGACTGGCAATGGAACCTACAGTCGTTTGGTGTATGGGATGGTGCTCCAACCAACTGAGTCACCAGGCCAGGGCAACTCCTTGATTTTATTCAGCCCATCATTTAAAGTTATAAAAGGAGTCACTAGTATAACTAAAAATAGTACCAAATACTGTAGGGGAAGAAAATAAAAACACATCTTACATAATAAATGTAAGAAAACAGAAGAATAGAAACAGAAAAAAAGACAAATTCAGATTAAACATATCTATTAAAATAAATTAGACATGAGGGGGACCCCCCAAAACAATTTATTTATAAAAAAATTGTGTATTTATTCTCACATGTTTAAACTTTAGTCACCTTCAAAGTACTCTCCATCTGATGCAATACACCCATTGAGACATTTTTCCACTTCTCAAAACAGTTTTTGAACTTGCCAATTTTGATGCTTTTTAGTGCTTCTGCCATTTTTTGTTTCACTTCTTCCACATCAGCAAAACATTTCCCTTTGAGGACTTTTTTCATCCGGGGAAACAAAAAATAAGTCACTGGGGGTGAGATTGAGATCGGGTGAACAAGGAGAGTGGGGCACAGGGGTCATGCCATTTTTGGTCAAAAACTGCCGAACACTCAGTGTCGTGTGAGCAGGTGCATTTGTAAATCACCCATCATGAAATGGGCAAGTGTGTTGAAAGAATCTTCAAAAGAGTTCACTTAAGCCAAATGCAGCCTCTCACAACAATGCCTGCTGGTGCACTGATACAGATGGGTTCCTAGAACACTCACCTAGCAGAGAAGGCTATACTACAAGGGGCCAGTCCTCCAGAAGTAATTTTGGGAATTTGGGGAATTTCACACACATCTATTAAAGGACTCACTCAATTTTTAAAATCAAAAACAAAACTTATGCACAACCGGTAGGAAAAATACCTTGAGCTGCACACACAGTAGCATCAGTCAGGGTAACTTTTAAAAATGTTATGCTAAGTGAAATAAGCCAGTTGGTGAAAGACAAATACCATGTGATATCACTTATAAGAGAAATATAATAAACAAAATAAACAGGAAAATAGAACCGGAAACATGGAAACAGGGAACAGACTGACAGTGGCCAGAGGAAAGGTGGGCAGGGGGATGGTGGAAAGAAGGGGAAGGGAGAGGTGAAAAAACATGTATGAATGACCCACGGACATGGACAACAGGGTGGGGATGGATGGTGGGAGCAGGGGATGGGGCGGGACGGAGGAGGGCAAAGGTGGGGGGGATTGGGACAGCTGTAATAAAATAAACAAGAATAAAATTTAAAAACTAAAATAAAAATCTCAATGCCACAGATGAATCCAAGGTTAACTAAATCAGAATTTTTAAACTCCTCAAGTATAAAGGCTTATATTAATAATATAGAGCTAAGGCTGAGAAGCATTCATCCAAAACAAAGACTCAAAAGGTTGGAAATGAAAAGATGCACAGAGCTACATTCAGCAAATGCAAGTGAAAGGAAATCAAGATCCATTCTATTTATGTCACGTAAAGATGAATTCAAGGCGAAAGCATCGAAGTCGATACTGATGTTCACTGCCCGGTAATGAAAGCACAGTCCCACCCACTAGGAAGCCAGGGTCATCGAGACCAGCTCGCTGAGTCTTGTGGGCCAGCTCACAGAGCACTGGAACTTATACTGGCCCACGTGAACTGACATTTTTATAGGCCAATATTTACTGAAATTGGCCATTTCAATGACTGGTAAAGCAAAACATGTCTGTAATTATTGCACGATGTAAACTGAATATATTCTAACAGTGTGTAGTAGTTGAGAACACTGGCTAAGGAGGCAGAGTGGTTTTGAATTCTGGCTCCATCCTGACTTACTACCTACACAGCAAGTCCCTTAGCTTCCCTGTTCCTTCGTTCCCTCACCTCTCACCCCCTCAAAGCAGGAATGATAAGAGCACCTGCTTGTGGGGTAGTGAGGGTTAAAGGAGTAAATACATATGAAAGTGCCTGTTCATGGTAAGGACTCAGTAAGTGTTACTATTAATATCCTCCTCTTCAAAAAAAAAATGCCCCACCTATTCTAACAGGTTGGTTTTTCCCTGTGAACTTTGTTGTTTGGGGCTGGGGTCTGGTGACCACAGTGGGCAGGCGAGACCTGGAGTGCCATGGCAGGCACCTCACTGGGAATCCTGCCCACTCTGTTCCTTTCACCCAATTGGCTATCACACCCCCAGGCCAACACACAACAGGAAGGGACTCTGTGCTCTCCCCCCAAGTCTTGCTTTATTTAGTTCATCCTGTCTCCTAGCCTGTTCCTCATCCCCTGCCAACCTGGCTCCTGCCCCTCTGCCTGAGCTCCTGGCTGTCACCTCCCACCTCTTAGAATCAATGGCTACTCTGCTCTGAGCCTCCCAGAGTTCTGCCAGACTTCTGCTTCTGGATTCTTCCCTAAGTTAAAAAAAAATTAAGCAAGCCTGATCCAGCCTCCCAGAGTTTGCACTCCAGAGGTTGCCTCCTGACTTTGGGAAGGGTATGGTTCACCTGCTCCTCTCTGGAGTTGATGACGACCAGGTGCGCGTTCTCCAGCTGGCAGAACTTCTGAGCCTCAGGCCAGGTCAGCCCAGTGCGAGAGAACCAGTAGCAGCTGCTGTCATGCTCCAGCCAGTTAATGGGGCAGCATTCTGTGCCTGAGGGGATGGCAGTGGCAAGGGGAGATGAGATCCAGCTGGAGGCCACAGGCACACGGGGGTCAGGAGGGGGACCGGAGACTCCCCCTCTCCCTCCTCCACTCCCTACCCCCTCCTCCCTACCATTGCTTTGCAGGAACGCCATCTGGCAAGCCAGAATGCGCAGATCAAATGGGAAGTGCTTCAGATGAAAGAGCAAGGTGTCATGATCTAGGGGGACAGAGTGGTGGATAATAATGATTCAGGCAGTGTGAGTGCCCCATCTGCCAGGGCCCTGCACAGGAACCCAGCCTTTGGCTGGGAAAACTCAATGCACACATCACACACATAAATTGCACATACCACACACTACACACTCACTCATAGACACACAACAAACACATCACTCACACCACACACCACATACCTCACTCACACACACCCTCTCACATACCGCACACTCAAGGGAGGGTCTCGGACCTGCTTTCAAGTCCTGCTTCTGTTTCTCCAGCTTGCCTTCCAAAGCTGTCACTCTGTCACCCGTGCTGCTTCCTGAAGAAGAAGAAAGCTAAACCATTTCCCTCCATTCTACCTCCTCAACACCCCTCCACCCTCAGCCACTGGAGCAGCAGTTAGAGACACCTGTCACCTCCACCCGGGAGGTTCCAGGCCCTGCCCCCAGCCCCCAGCTCTGCCCAGTCTCCCCGCACCCCACTGCTCTGCCTTTCTGAGGAACAAACCTGCTCAGGTTGCTCCCCTGGGCAACCCCCTTCCATAGGTCCTCATTTTCTCAAAATAAATCCTCACTTTATTTACACAGCTTGCTTCCATGGCCTGGCCCCTACCCACCTCCCTGGCCCACCCCTCTCCACTTAGCTCCTGCCACACTGGAAGTGTTTACTGCCCCAAAACGTGCAGTGGTCTTCCTCACCTCCCAGTCACCGCAGATTCACTAACCCCCACCCTCTTCACCTGCTTATTCATCCTTCAGGGTTCCTCAGCCTGGGGAACATCCCTGGAAACTGCTCTGCATCTCAGGCTGGGTTATCTGCCCACACATCCCAAACACTCCCCTTTGCAGACACCACACTGGGCACACCTTGGAGTCCAGCAAACCTGTGCTGGTAAACTGGTGCCTCAACAGCCCAACCTCCTGGCCCTCCCCTCCTGGGTGCACCCACTCACCGTGGAAGCTGAGAGCCTGGATTTCTGCCAAGGTGCTGGAGGAGAAGTTGCTGAAAGCTTGTTTTAGGGTCCAAAACTCCCCTTGCATCTGTGCTCCTTGTCAGGAGAGAGAGAGAGCACAGGACAAAGTGGAGGGGGCTATGCCCCATGAGACAGCCTCCTCACTGTCCATAGCACTGTCCCCTCACTACCCCCTCACGGTCCCCATTTGTGCCCTAGCTCTGCCCTATACTGCCTCCCTCTCTTCCCCTGTAATAGCTCTCATCACCTCCCCACCCCCATGCACTGTGCACATCCCCCTTCCCATCACGACCCCATCCCCACTGGCCCCTGTGATCCTCACTTTGGGACCCAATCACGCAGATGGCCACCAGCAGCAGGAGGTTGAAGCCCAGTACCAGTAGATTGAGCCAGAGCCTGGGGTGGAGACTCTGCAGCAAAAGGGGCTGGGGTGGAGGCGTCCCTGCAAGAGAAGTGGTGTCAGGAGAAGGGCTGCTGAGAGCCCACCTAATGGAAGCACCAGGGAACAGAAGTCTGCGGAAGTGCAGCCCAGGTGGGTGGGAGGAAAGTAGTTGGGGAGTGTTGTTTGGGGGAGTCAATGGGCTTTGACCCTGGGATTTAAGTGTTGCACACACACTCATTTGCACACATGCACACACCTACATGGGCATGCAGCACACCCGCACATGGCGTGTGTGCACATCACACATCACATACTCACATCAGCTGTGTGTAAAGCCCCAATCTTAGAGCTGGGCCTCTCAGACAGACCCAAAAGTAGAAGCACCACCACCACGACCCCCACTTCCACTGGGATGTTTAAGTCCAGGTCATTCCACCACAGACCACTCCCTGAGGGCTGCCCTCCAAGCCCCAGCTCTCTCATCCCCCAGCCCTCAGAGCTTCCTCTCCCAGGCCTCTCTGCCCCTCCATCCCAGAAACCCTTGCCCCACTACAAACGCCCTCCCCTTAGCCCTCAGTCATCTCACAGAACCCTCCCCTTCGTCAAGCTGAATCCTGAAAACACAGCCACACACACACATACACATTTTTCATTTCATTCTCACACTCATTACCGCACACACACTCACCACCCTCCATGCTGCCCACACCCTCTCCCATTGTGGCCCCATCCCTGCTGGCCCCTGAGATCCTTACCTTGGGACCCAATCACATGGGTGGCCACCATCAGCTGGGCACTGAGGCCCAGGACAAGCAAACACTTTCATTAACACGCATTCTCACACTCATACACATTACCACACACATTCTCATACACACTCTCTTATACTATAACACACATTCACATACCTTCTCACACATATACACCCAATGACACATGTGTTCCCACATGCATACACACATACACCCACATCCTCACATGCACAGAACTGACTTCATCCCTCCTGATGTCTCTCCAGGACTGGCTTCTGCATTGGCACCACCCGCCTCTAAAAAAATGCCTCCTCCTCTTTGCCTTAGACCCTGACCTCCCCTCCCTTCTCACTCCTATCATACCCAGAGAGCCTCACATTCTGGGGTTAGTCAGAGGTCCAGAATCTTCCTCCCCAGTCCATCAATTGCCACCATCCTGAGTCGTCGCCATGAGTGACTACCCAGATCGCTTGACCTCTTCACACCGATAACTGTCACCTTCTTCCACTTCAGCCACACTCAGGACCCCATCCGGACCCAGAAAGGCCATGTCTCTGACACCTCCACTGCCCGTTTCCTGCTGTGAGCACGGCCTTCCCTTTGCCTCTCCCCACACGTCTTCCCTCATCCCCTGGGTTTCTGTCCTTCTAGAGAGCTCTCCCAAACCAGTCTCCCCCACCCAGCTAGAGCTCCATGGCTGAGACCCTGACTGCCCTCTCCAATGCTGTCCACTCACTGGGCCCTGGTCCCACTTCCCAGCCTTTCCTATGACCTATAAACCCTCCACTCTGAGTCAGCTCAACAATCTGTCTCTGCACCTGTGTCCTGAAACAAGACCACCCATGGCTGAGTCCAGCTATGCCACCAACTAGCTCTGAGGTCATAGGCAAGTCATTCACCCCCTTGGTGCCTCAGTTTTCTTGTGTCCACTTATACAATCTAAAGTAGTCAAACTCATAGAAACAGAGAGAAGAGTGGTGGTTGCCAGGGGCTGGGGCTTGGGAAATTGGGAGTTGCTGTTCCATTATGGGTGAAAAGTTACAATTGTGGAAGATATATAAGTTTGAGAGATCTGCTGGACAACTGTGTGCCTATGGTTAATGAAGCAGTATTGTTCACTTTAAAGTTTGTTAAAGGGCAGATCCCATGTTATGTGTTCTCACCACAATAGAAAAAAATATGAGTAAGAATAGTAGCTACCTGATTGGGCTATACTGAGAATGAAGTGAGTTAAAACATGTAAAGTACTGACTAAGCAAGTTTGAAAATAAAAGAAAGGGTCTGCCCAACATGGAATAACAAGGACTAGACATGCCCTCCTCCCAGAGACAACCACAACAATAAACAACCATTTTCAAGACACTGGACTTCAAGGAACACGGGGCAATGACCCCCGAGGGACAGGGCACAAACTAGACGAGCCCTATGATTGTCCCAGCCTAGTGTTGGGGGAAAGTTTTCAGGCCACCTGTGGCCCAGGGAGGGGCAACCCAAGCAGAGCCCAGCAGACTCCCCCTTAAGGGGGACTTAAGGAGATGGATCCAAAAGTTTAGGGTGACTAAGGTCACCAGACTTCACAGGACAAAGTACAAGATGAGAGGGCCCAGAGACACCCAGAGATCTGTGGAGGGTTCCTTTCAAGTGGTCAGCTGAGTGCTGATCAGTGCATGTATGTAAAGAAAATCACCCAAGACCAGGAGAAAACCATCTGAATAGATTAGGGAGCAGTGCCTGGCACTCCTACAGGGCCAGGAACAGTGCCTACTCCCACCGGCCGGACTGGACCCTCAAGGCTTTGGGTAGAGGACCCAAGAAGGCTTTGTGCCGGCCATCCTCCAGACCCACCTAACAAGTCATAAAAGCAATGCCCAAAAGGACTAAGGTGACTCCAAGTAACTTAACTACATCCCAAAATAAAGCTCAAGAAAATTTAGAGGAATACAAATATATCCAGCACACAACAAGGTAAAATTCACAATATCTGGCATCCAATCAAAGATTACCAGGCAAAGAAGCAGAAAAACACATTTTATAACAAGGAGGTTAATAAATCTACCAAAACAAATCCAGAACTGACATAGATGTTAGAATTAGCAGACAGGACATTAGAACAGATATTGTAACTGTACTCCATATGTTCAAAACATTAAGTAGAATATCAGAAAAGGACATATAAAAGTCCCAAGTTAAACTTTTAGACACAAAATCTACAATGTCTGAAATAAAAATTACACTGAGTGGAATTAATGGAAGATTAGACATGCATAAGGAAAGATTAGTAAACTTAAAGACATAGCAATAAAAACTATATAAAAAGAAACACTAAGAGAAAAAATAACTTTTTAAAGTGGCAATAGAATCAGTGAACTGTAGGACCACTAATAGATCCAGAATTGGGGTCCTTGAAAGAAAGGAGAGAAAGGTGAGGGCAACAATGGCCACAATATTTCCAAATTTGCTGAAAACTGTAGGATATTCCATCTTGGCCGGGTGGGTGGGTGCTAGGTGCCAGCTCCCAGGAGGGCAGCAGAGACTGCCGGGGAGGACCATGCTGAGCGCCTGGCCGCCTCAGAGCTGCCCTGCAGTGCCTCCCATCAGGCCTTCTGGGTGAGCTCCTTCTCCCATGAAACCCCAAACCTCTGGCCTCTCTCCAAGCCTCCTGCTGAAACTCTCAACCCTCTCACCCTCTGAAGATTCAACAATATCCAAATCAATTTTGAGTGAGCGTGAGTGAAATGATCCAAAATCATTTCACAACGTACCAAGCATCACATGGGCACTAAGGGTGCAGAGGGGAGTGAGACAGATGTGGTGTCCGCCCCCTGCAGCCTACTGCCCAGTGGGGAGACCTGCCAGCCCCCGACCTGGAAAGGAGAAGCCTTCAGTGGGATAGCCTGTCCCTCCTGCTGCTCCTGCCTTGCCCGGTTCCCACCCTCACCTGTGACAATACCATCCTCCACAGTCTGCCAGCCTCAGAAATGAGAGGTTTTGCCTCCCAGCCTAGGCTAACCAATTCCTCTCCTGAGCTCCAAGCCCCAGTCCCTCCTCTCTCCACAGAGCCTCACACCATCACCAGCACCCACACAGCTGACACGCCCCACTCCCCACCCCTGGTATCAGGTCTCTCTTGCCTTAAAACCTTTTCCCAGACAAGGGGCCTTCCATCAAGATCTGCTAGAGAAAGATCCAGATGGGGGGCTTGGAGAGAGCGGGAACTTTCTGGAATATCTCTGTATCTCTGTGTCCATTGCCTCACCCACCCATCCCCACACCTTCCCATGTACATGTACACTCTCCTGGCTGAATGTGCTTTCCTTGCACACACAAACATGCACAGACACACAGCACATGTTGTCAGAAGGAAGGCTGGGAGGAAGAGCGGAGGAAGTCATCTCCAGCTTCCACTTACTCCCTCACCTCTGGGCACACGCCCTTTCCTGAGGCCCTGAGGCGGGAGAGGAAGGTGGAGTCAGGGGGCAAGCAAAGGAGTTGGTACCACACTCCTAGAGGGGATGGTCCCTGCTCATTGAGTGAATGTGACAGAGACCTCAGGGAGACAGAGCCACCAGGAGCGAGAGACAGAGGTGAAGTGCTGCCCCGGAAACCGGATACTTGCCTTTCCAAAATGCATCTTCTCTCCTGGAATTGCTCCTACGGGTGCCTGGCCCCTCACCCCCACCGAGCTGGTGGTCACTCTCCTCAGAGTCCAGCTGCTGGATGTCCTGAAAGTCCTTCGCCATGCTGGGCCCAGGGCAGGAGCTGGGCCTGGGCTGCCGTCAAGGCTGCTCCCAGGACTGGGGCTCAGTTCAGGGCCGGTGCTCCTGCTCAAATGCTGGTTCAGGTGGAGGCTTAGGATAGGACTGGGGGCAGGGGCAGGGCAGGTGTAGTAGACAGTTTGGATTGAGTCTGAGGTTGGAGGTGAGTTTGGGCCTGAAATACAGTCAGGTCATTTCCCTTCTCAGGTGATTTCTTAAGCTCTGACGTGGCTGGGGAGGTGCCTTCCCTCCACACTCTCATCTTTCCATCCGGCCCCCACTGTCTCTGACCTATGGTCTCCTTAATCCCAAACACCCCCAGTCCTACTTGCCTCCCCAACCTTGATTACCTGTTAAAGGTGTGAAGGGCTGACTCCCGGGTCCCTCGAGCAGCCTGGGAGAAGTGGGGCAGGTGGTGTTAGACGAGAAGAGGAGGGGAGGGGGCTGGTCCAGGTGAGAGCCCTGAGCCCATGTGTCTGAACGTCCAAGAGGTTCTATCCTGGCATCTCCTGACCCTAGGACTTTGGACAGTAAACAGAATGGAAACGGAGTCGGAACTCGAGCAAAGCATAGTGGGGGCTGGGACAGGACTGTCTCTGTTCTTCCTAGAGAAAGGGTCTCCTGGTCTGTCCCCTTCACCCCCATAAGCCAGTCACCTTACTCTTCATCACACAGTTTGGAAGGGGGGCCAGGCCAGGAAGGCAGAAGTATGGTTCAGGCTTTCCCCTTGCTCTTCCCCCCTTTCACTTCCTGCCTCTGAATTTCCCAGAATTGTTGGTGTTGCTAAATACCTCTGACCAGGATCAGAGGGGCCGAGGATTCTCTGCTCTTGCCCAATCTGGCACCATCTGATCCTAGGCCTCGCTTCCTGTGGGCTCAGCCCCAGGCTTCCCAGCTCAGGACTGACAGCTTCACCCTGCTGGGGAGTTAAGGGTCCGGAAAAGCAGAAGTGCAGGGAGAGGAGGGGGACAGTGGCAGAAGCCACCCTCCTGGGGCAGGAGGTCTTCAACCTCACTAAGCCCTTAACTGGCCTGGGCAACATAAGCCTTTGTCCTCCCTCCCAGCCAGGTTCTCCTATAATTCTCACAACACAACACCCCAGCAAGGGGCTGCTTCTGTTGTTCCTATTTTACGGGGGAAGACATGGAGCCTCGGGGAGATTCAGTGACTTGCCCTGGGTGGAGGGGTCAGAGGGGAGGAGGAAAATGGGAAGCAAAACAGGATAAAGAGAAAAAAAGTCATATGAGAGAGGGCCCTTCTCAGTCCTACGAGGAAGGCAGGTTCCACGAGCTGAGGAACCATCCACACTCACACTGACAATAGCTGGGGGAAAAAAGAAGGGTTTTTGTCCCTGATTTTCAGACCCTCGCCACACTGACTATTTATAAAGCAGCCCGTGTTGCCCCTTGTGCTGCAAAGGGGTTGAAACAGAGGCCTGTGCTTTTCATTTTCTGTTTTCTTTTTTAATGGAGAAAGTATGTGGTAATTTTCTGACACATATGAGAAATAACCACACAATTCAGCATCCCGACCTTCCTATGAAACCCCCAAGGCAGTGATGGCTGCCTTGCCATTTGATTGTAACCACAGTGAGAGAGACATACCACAACGTGACCCAGAACACGCCCGCCAGCACCTGCACACACATGCATGCTTGTATGTGTTATTTCTCCCGAGCACCCAGTGCCTGGCACATCGGCAGAGCTCAACAGGTGTTTATTGGATGAACGAGTGATTGAATGAATGAATGAATGAATGAATTTGTAGATACACTATTCACGTGAAAGTTTCATAAAACAATACTTACCTTACTGGTTGTATTCTACTTCATGACCACCCAGAGTTTACTGATCCATTCACAGGTCACAAATCAAAGTCTGAAAACACTCCCATGAAGCCAGCCGCCATGCTATAAGGAGGCCCCGCTATCCTGCTAGAGAGAGACCTCATGAAGCGGCCCGGTGTGGGAGGTTCTCGGGGTAGGGAAGTTGAGTTACAATATGAAGAGAAAGAGAGAGGGAGAGAGACCATCCAGAGTATGAGGCCCCCAGCATGTGAACAAAGCCTTCTGGGAGCTTCCAGAGCAGCCCAGCCAGCAGCTGAATGAATCCAAGCATGTAACCTAGCCCATACCACATGGTCCACCTGGCCCAGCCCTGCCCAAATTTCTCACTCAGAGAATCTTGAGAAATAGTACATGGTTATTTGTTCTAAGCCACTGAAATTTTGTGTTGTTATGTTATGTATCAATAGTTAACTGAAACAATATATATTCTTAAATATACATCCTTATAAAATACGTGGCAGTATAGTTTATGTCCATCTGTTTTTCATATACATAAATAGGACTTTTACAAATCTCATTTTTTGCTGACTTTTTTACCCAACAATAAGAGGTGTTTAAGGTCTGCCATGGTTCTATTTGTGTTTTTGGTCTGTTGCTATGAACCATATTAAATGGTGTGTATATGTCCTGGTTTATTTGCACTGTCTCCTCATCATGAACTACGACAACACCATGTTCTCATCATGTTCCCATGTGAATCTGAGCAAGATTTCCCCTGTGAAATGCATCCAGGAATGAGATTGTGAGGTCACAAGCATTCTCCTGCTCAACTTTACTGGGTGTTGCCAGACTGCCCATTCTCCAGAACGGCCGGGCCGGTGACGCCCACCCCCAGATTAGGAGGGCTCCCTCATTTCATCCACCCTTCCAAGTACTTGACATTATTCAGCTTCCCAATTGCTGCCAGCCTGATACCATCCCCCTTTTTTTATTTTTCATTTCTAGGTAATAGTGGGTCTGAACGTTTCTTCATCTACAGAATAGCCATTGGCTTCCCCTTGTATGAAGTGACTTTTCATATCCTTTCTCCACGTTTCTACTGGGTTTTCTGAATTCACTGTGCTGATTAGCCAGAATTTCTTGTATATTCTAGATACTTTTTCAGAAAACAAGAAGTCTTTTGAAAATAAAAATAGTATTGTTAAAGCCAAAAAATAGAAGATTTGGAAAATAAAATTTAGGAAATCTTCCAGGAAAATAAGAAGAACAAAGAGAGAAAAACAAAAAAATTTAATGGGAAAATCGATAACTAAATTTGGGGGATTTTTCCCCCTGCCTCAAGTTCCCACAAGTGAAGCTTTCTGACTCTCTCTCCAGACTCTCCCCCAGCCTGCTCACTCCTCTCCAGAGGAGGAAGCTTGGCTTACTACTTAGCCGGCCTGGCTCAGCCCCACGGGGCTCTGTTCACTATCTCCCTCCCCACCTTGTCCACTTGCTGCCAGGTGGACTGAACCCGGCTTCCCCAGCTCTGCCTGTGACTCCGTAGGTATGCTGCCTAATTTTAGAACAAAACATCAACAAGTGCTTTTGATTTAAGATGTTAAGCCAAATCCTCCTTCACTGATTATCAGCAATAAAGCTAACACCTTGACATCCATTTATCTATTTCATCTTAATTCTCAACTGGTTTTCAGATTTCAAAGGAGAAAAAGGGCTCTTTTTTATATCCCTATAAAACCCTCACAAGTAACATAAAAGATCAATTTGGAGAATCAACACCTAACAGGATAAAGCAGAAAGTAAAAGGGAAAAAGTGATCAAAGAAATAATACAAGAATGTTACTTAGAATTAAAAGGACGATGTTCCAAATTTAAATAAGATACTAATTCCACAGCTTTTCACTGAAAAATGACCCAAAGCACACCATTGTGAAATTTTAGAATACCAGAGATCAAGAGAATACTCTAAAAACTCCTGGAGAGGGAAAAAAATAACCTGCAAAGAAACAGGACAAGAATGGTTTCCACTTCCCAGTTGTTAAATTCAACACTAGGCAACAGGGTGATGCCTTCAAACCCAAGCGAAATTTTTTTCAACCTAGAATTGTAGTCGAGTGATTATCAGCATGAGAGAGTAGAATAAAGAGTTTTCAGACAGGCCAGAGCTCAGAATATTTATCTTCCATTTCTATTGTTTTAGGAAGTACCATAGAAAGTGAGGAAATAATCCAAAAACAAGGTATGTAGAAGAACATCACAATATGAGCCTTTTTCACTAGTGTTAAGTAAAAATCTTGTTCAACTCTTTCTGTATTTCTGCCTGCATATCAGCTTTTCTTTCCTTATAAGGTTAATCGGTGAAATTTGAGAGTCTGGCCTTAAAAATGAAAATCAACCCTGGCTGGTATGGTTTGGTGGATTGGGCGCTGGCCTGCAAACTAAAGGGTCACCAGTTGGATTCCCAGTCAGGGCACTTGCCTGGGTTGCAAGCCAGGTCTCCAGTAGGGGGTGCATGAGAGGCAACCACACATGGATGTTTTTCTCCCTCTCTTTGTTCCTCCCTTCCCCTCTGTCTAAAAATAAATAAATAAAATCTTTTAAAAATTGAAAATCATCATAATGTTACAGAACAGACCCAGGGGGTGGTGAAAAATATACTATCACTGAAAGGACCACCCCTTTTTCTCTGGGGGATCCCCCCATAATAGGTTTGTTTTGCCCACCGCCAGAGGAAAGACGTCTGTCAATGCCAGAGATTGGTAAAAAGAAATTATTTATTTAAAAGTTATACACACTTAGAATAATGACTTAATGTCTTCATTAAAATACTAAAGTTCTTTAGAATACCCACAAATGCACACAGTCCTTCCTTCTCCCCTTTGCTCAGTCTGGGCTACCATATCTCAGGAAAAGAAGTAGAAGTCCATGATTCAGGCTCCCAACACCATCAGCTGTGTTGCCACCACAATCTCCAGTTAATCCAAAGCCATGTGGCACCTTCTCATGGCCCACTAGCAAAAGCTCTTTCACCCCCTTTCTTCAGGCAAAGTCTCTCCTGCTTCCTAAGCCATGTGGCAAAAGGGAACAACCCAAAGCCGCATGGTCCCAACTCTCACCCAAGTCGCATGGTGATTCCCCTCATGGCTACTGTGTCTGGGTTTAAATTCCAGAGCCAATCTTTCTCTGCAGCCCCGTTTCTGACTCCTCCCACAATCATTTCCACCCGACAGCACTCCTGTATTCTTCCAGCTTTACTGGGCTGCCATAGTAATTCCGGGCAGGCATGGCCACATGGCATGGAGCCAATCATCTCCCAGCTCTCATGCAGGCGCTGTAACCAGGGTGTGTTGCTTCCTAGTTACATCCTGGGTGGAAGTCACTCCCATCCCCCTGGTTCAAAGCTTGGCCACAGCTATTTAACAGTATCTATGAAACCAGCCAAAGGCTATAGATATGTTAAATGACCATGCCAGAGGTTAGCTGCAAAGCTGTTGCTATGCAAAACAGCTCTTAATGGCCCTGCTCCATGTGTCCCATCCCCCATTTCAGACTGGTGGGGGTGAGGACATCATGTATATTTTTTTCTCTAATATTTCCTAGACACCCTGAGTTCTGAACCCCATTACAAATCCCCATTTGGGCCCCCCTGCTGGCTGCACCTTGTTACAATAATGAACATAAGAAATCTAAGAAGACATGGATACTATCATTTGATAGGCTCTTCAAGTGAGAATG